TTTTTTCCTCCTTAATTTTACCCCCTTTCTTGTTGATTTGTCCCAGCGCGACCCTAACGTTTCCGGCGGCACGGGCTGGGGGTTGTGCTGTCCCCAGAAAGACGCGCAGCTACCGCAGCTTCGGGGGTACACCCTCTCCCCTTTCCCTCTCCCCAGTCCCTCTGACAGCGAGGCAGGGTGATAGAGGAGAAGGGACAGAGGGATAAACCGAGGGGCAGACCATTTCTCATTCATTTTCTCCGTTGCTTCCATCAACGGCTTAAATTATTCGCGCCCCTCTTCTCTCCCCCCGCCCCACCCCCCCCCTCCGCCCCTTTGGATTTAATTATTCGTGCTCAATATACTTGTACATCATCCAGGGACTCAGTTTCAGGCCCTTGTGCTAAAGAAAATATAAACAGAACAACAACAACAACAACAAAACCCAGAAGGTTTTTGTCCTACAGTGACTTTTTTTTTTTATTATTTTATTTTTTTTTTCCAAAGGCTTCAGATAAATCAGTTCTCTCTGTTGCACTGCTGTCATGTTTCTGCTGCTTTACTCGGGTACAGAGTCTTTTCCACTATTTGGAAACCCATACTCCCCACATTTTTTTTCTTTTTCCTAGTTTGTGTTTATACTCTGGTACAACTGTCATAATCCTACAGTCAAGAGGGCTGCCTTTCCCTTGTGGATTAGGGAGACAAGCAGAGACTCCCAGAGCGTGGAGAATGGGAATCCCTCACCTAAGGAATCTCAGGTGGGACACTCAGTAGGTTACCAGCAGGGAAGCCCCCATCGACAGGATGAGCCCTAGGCATCCTTGGACACTTTCTGCAGATCACTTAGTCACAACTTTCTTGTGTGGATCAACAAAACAAGCTCAGTGTCCCTACACCTGACAGAGAAAATGAAGCTTGAAATGGAGTGTTCTTGCTGTTGACAATGGAAGTCAAAGACAGGAAAACCTAGAGAAATGAAGATGAAATCCTGCAAATACAGCAGATGCAGGCCCACTTTTTTCCAGCTGATGGAGTTTTATCATGGACTTGCAACTTGAAAAATAATCTCAGGTCCTGCAGACATGTGAATATTAGCTATAATTTTTTACAAGTGAATTGCTGAAACTTGTAATTTCTGAGAGCAGTTAAAAACAACTTCCAAGTATTAAAATCCCCAGCATATAAATAAAAATAATGTGGCTAATAATGTATTTCAACCTTGTGGTTTTTAAACTAATCTAATTTNTTTTTTTTTTTTTTTTTTTTTTTTTTTTTTTTTTTTTTTTTTTTTTTTTGCCTGTACACATAATTTTTTTGAACTTGGGTCTGATGGTACTCTGCTGAGTGGTGTGAGCATAAGCTGGAGGCCTGGAGGAGGACTGATGATGGCCAGCAAAGTGCTGGCCTGGGTTTGAGCACCGTGTGAAGTCCACTGTTGTGTCCTCTCTTCAATGTGTCCTCCTGCTGTGTCCTTTCTCCCATGTGTCCTCCTGCTGTGTCCTCTCTCCAGTGTGTAAAATCTCCACATTTTCAAGGCCAAACCTGCTGACTCTCATCTCAACCAGTTAAACCAAATTATATAGACCCCTGCCCTGTTGAGATACTTGTGTATCCCCCTCACCCTCCCACAGTGAAGTTTGGATAGATTTGCTCTGCTTGCAAGAGACATGTCCAGATGGATTGGTGTGAAGAGCCTTCAGGGCCTGCCAAAGATTCAGTCACCAGATCTGGACACCTGGAAATGTCACAACCTTTAGTGCCTGAGAGATCCTGCAGTGTCACACAACACTCTGGGGGCCTTCCCTGACTGGTGAGTGAAGATGGCTGTGGAAAAGGGCTGGAGAAAAGGGGGCCAGAGAGGAGTGCACAATTGCTCTTATGTCCACTACACCTGCTCTTAACTATACGAGGAAATTGCTTAGAAAATCCCTGGCTATGACTTTTTGCTCATCTGATCTTTTGATCACACAAACAGGACAAACCCCAATGCTATATTTTTTTTCTTTCCCTGAGTAGCTGACATCTGAAATCCCGGCAGATGTTATTTTAGAGACATTTCTTAATCTAGTCCTCTCTCTGCCGAGAGGGCAGGAGATGATCGCCTTGACACTAGGAGCCATCAGCCCATCTCCGCAGGCAGTGCGCTCAGGATGCTGCGGATCAGGGTGCTGGTCCCCGCGGCATGCCGTGGGGTGGTCAACCTGCCCACTAGCCCCGAGCTTGCCCCCAGCCCCGGACCTCATCGGGGACGTGTCGCCAGAGCCCAGCCCGGCCAAACCAGCGCGGTGAGCCTCTGCTGTCACTGCTCTGACTCAAAACCAGCCGTCACTATTCCTCAGGCATTCGGGCCAGCAGCGGAATGGGGTGCGTGTTTTTGTGGGGTGGCACAAATCCCGTCGGGTTTTGCGGGCTTTACAGAGGGATAAGAACAGGTTCGACAGTGTCGTCCCACCCCTCTCGTTTTCCCTTCGCTCCCAGCTCTCCCCGTCCCACCTTTAGAGCCGGCGGCGGCGGCGGGGCAGGACCGGGAGGACGGGGCGGTGCCCGCCGCTGTAACCAATGGCTCAGCCGGGCTGTTTAAATAGACTCGTCCTGTCAATCATTTTCTTCTTCGTCAGCCTCCCTTCAATCGCCATATTGGGCAACCAAGAAAAGGGCTCGTCTCTTGTTTTTTTCCGTCTCGCTTTTACTACGCGGCGGCGGTGCGATCGGCAGGGGCATCATCGGCACCAGCGCCATCGCCATCGGCGGTGGGCCGGCACCGGGGGGGCAGCGCTGAGCTCCGCTCCTCACCCGCCCGGGGCTTCCCGGCGGCGGCAGCGGCGGCTCTCGGGGCTCATCCCCGGGCCGGTGCTTATGCAAGGGCGCCTCCTCGCCCCTTCTCCGCGGACCGAAGGCGAGCGGGGCCGAGGCAGGGCCGCAGCGCGGGGCAGCGCGGAGCGGAGGCGCGGAACGGCGTCGCCGGGCGCCGGGAAATAAAGGGCGGCGGAGGCCGCGGAGAGAGAGCAGCGAGAACAACAACCGCCGCCTGGAGCTACAGCGTGCGGGGAGATGTCAAACGTCCGCATTTCTAATGGGAGCCCTACCCTGGAGCGCATGGAGGCCAGGCAGTCGGAGTACCCGAAGCCGTCAGCGTGCCGGAACCTCTTCGGGCCGGTGAACCACGAAGAGCTCAACAGGGAATTTAAGAAACACCTGCAGGAGATGGAGGAGATGTACCAGAGGAAGTGGAATTTCGATTTCCAGAATCACAGGCCGCTGGAAGGCAGGTACGAGTGGCAAGCCGTGGAGAAGGGGAGCTCGCCCGACTTCTACTTCAGACCCCCCCGGCTACGGAAAGCCGTCTGCAAGTCCGCCGGCCGCCAGAGCTTGGATGTAAACGGGAATTGCCAAACCGTGGTTTTTGTCGGTTCTCAGGGAATCTCAGAGGACACTCACTGTGTAGCTCAAAAGACTGATGTTTCAGAAAATCAGACGGACTTAGCAGAGCAGTGCACTGCCCAGAGGAAAAGACCCGCAGCCGATGGTAACGTACCCCACGGCTCTGCCCCGCGTCCCACTCGTGTCAGCGCCGGCGCTCCAGCCCTTCCGCCCCTGCCACGCGTGGCACCGGCTCGGTGTGCCCACCACCCCCGCCCCTTTCCCTCTAAAAAAGCCCGGGTAGTGTTGGCAGTCCCGGGGGTCCCGCCTAGAGTGGGAGCCGGTAGATGATTTGCAAGGACGAGCCCTTAGACGCGGGTCAGATTCCCCAACCCCTCGCTGTTCCACTGCGGGGACCCGGGCTCCTGCCCAGGTGGGAGGAGGTTCACAGCGTTCAGCAAAAGACGAATATGGATTTTAGCCGAAAAGAGGGAACTTGGGTCTCCTGCCTAGGGAGAAGCCCATCTCCCCACCCCCTGTTCGTCTCACGCAGCTGATACCTGACATGGGGATCTGGGAATATTCCCCCT